CCTCTCACCGGCAGGCATAGTGCAGGATGGTGGGCTCTCTTCCTGGGATCCTTCATTCTGGCCCTACAAACTCTTGTCTAAGAGTTCATTGGAATGTTGACATAATTTCATTAGGTTCCATGAAACAGGGAAGAACGAGGCCTATGTGGTTCTTTCTAAGTTAGGAAAAAAAGTTTCTTAGTAGATTATAGATTTAGATTACAAGGCAGATTTATCTCACCTTTGTGAAACCTTAAAAGTTCAGCATTTACACCTGTGTACTCTCATTTTCTGCTTAGTTCTTCACTGCTGGGATGTAATACCTGGCACTTACAGCTTAAAGGAGGAAAAGTTTATTTGGCTCATATTTCCCGTCCTAGGCAGCTGGCCGCCCGGTTGGAACAGCGTGGCAGAGTGGAGGAAAGCAGCTCATGCCATGGTGGCAAGGAAGCAGAGGGTAAGCAAGGAACCGGCAAGGAACCAACAGGCCCTTCCAGGTCACCCACCTTTTAGGCCCACTTCCTAACAGCAAGTCAGCTGTAGCACCACGATCCAAGTACAGTCCAAAAGCTCTGCCTCTGAGCACATGAGAATTTGGGGGACATTCTTGATCTAAACCATAACAGGTATCCGACAGGTGGGCTACACTGAGTAAAGAATAATTGTCTTGGGCTGCATACAAAATATTGTTAGTGTATATAAGTAACAAAATTTCCTTTTTACGTATTTTTTACTATAGCATAGAAAAAGGGAGAAGGCAGTCAGCCTGCAGGCTGTGGGTTGGACATGTCTGACTTAGTACTTCTTCACTTAGTTTTTTCTTTCTTTTTCCTTAACTATTTTATCCTATGATTCATTGCCATTACTTGTGATTTTCAAGAGAAAAGGCATTACCTGAGTGGTTTATAAAAAGTTTAGGACTATATTTTGGATGGGTTGATACCAGCCAAGTAGATCTTTTGATCCTGAGATGGTAAAATGAGATTGGGCCAAATATTGCTTGCACGAGCAAAGCTTTATTTGGAGCTTCTGGGGAAGTGGAGCTTCAGTTGAAGGGAGTCAGCACTGGCAGAGATTAGGCCAACCTGCTTGAGAACAGCAGGGTGTGACTGATTGACCACAGTGGGCCAAAGTTCAGTGATTCCCGATGGTCAGGGATATGGTTTTGTAAGGTGTTTCTTCTTGTGACCACCAGGTGGCCATGGTCCCCTTTTCCTAGAATTGTTGACTTACTCTTCTATCTAGTGCCATCCTCTTGTACAAATGTCCTAGCCTTGTGATAGGGTTGAATGACTCCACATGCTCAGGCTTCTGAGGAAGACCTAGGGACAGAAAAGAGGGCAGAAGCAAAGAAAGAAGACACACAGCAGCTTCAATAGGCAAACTGATCCTGTATTGAGTCTTGGTAAAAACTATTTTAAACGATTCACATGTCTGGGTGCAAAGCAGAGTAGAATCTCCAAGGCTGAGACAGCAAAGGGAACAGACAACATGAAGACAGTGATGTCTATAACTGTATAGATTACTTCTTAGAAACTTGACGTCTTCTTTGTCTAAAACACTGACTCTTCACTTTGGGCCTGCAGATAGCTGATGAGTGACTAGAGTGGGATAAAAATGTTGGTGTTTGCATCTTCATATGGTGTCTATCCCTTCTTCTGTGTGACCTCCAAACTTAAGTTATTTTTAAGTTGAAGTGAAGCTGGAAGGGGCTTATTTAGGTTTCCCCTTGGTAATGGTTTCTCATTTCATGCATACATTCTTTCTGTGGTTTTATGAGGGTCTCATGATGGGTCTGTTGAAGAGCACAGGGGAAGAAAACAACATTCCATGCTGCAGAGGTAATCGTTTAATCTGCCCAGAGTTTATTTTCTCATTCCAACCTTTTGTCTCATTCCTGTCTTGAAGTGGGGCAATAAATTTTCTTTCTTTTTTTTTTTTTTTGAGACAGGGTCTCGCTCTGCCGTTCAGGCTGGCCTTGAGCTCACTTTGTAGCCCAGGCTGGTCTCGAACTCACAAAGATCTTCCAGGGCAATATATTCTTAAGTGATTCTATTAGGTCAAAGTTTGAGTCTATAGTCATTAAAGATGTGCATACCAGTTGTTACCACCTCTATCTACATGTCTCCTCAAAGCTTCTCATGGGTGGGGTTCTAAAAGGTGATTGAATTATGGGGGTGCTATGAGTAAACGTGGTATTAGCAGGTGGGGCCTGGTCTGAAGGGGGACATTACTGGGCTTGTGACCTGAACAGTCATTTGGTGCCTTCTGTGTCTCAGCTTCCTGGCTGCCATGATGTGAGCAGCTTTCTTCTGGCCAGGCCCTTCCACCGTGTGGTTTCTGTGTTTGAGCTTACGAAACATGGACTGAAACTTCTAAAATGTGAGCTAAGGAAATCTTTCCTCCTTCATGTTGCAGGTGTTGGATAATTTGTCCGAGCAACAAAGAAAGTGACTAAGACAGTAGCCTCTCTTATAAGCAATGTGATGTCAGGTAAGTGAAGAGTTCCTTTATTCCCATCTGTACAATGGAGACAATAGCAATCATTTACTGGAGTTATGATTACATGTAAAAGTCTGCAAAGCATTTATTTTGCAACTAGTACAAAAGCAAGGTGTCATAGGAACATAGTACTTGAACTGCTCCAAGGATCAGAATAGTCTTCCGCCCCAAGAACTACCAAGGAGATTTCAGTATGGCTACCACTGGCAGACCTAAGGAAAAGGAGTAAAATGGAAGCAGGATTGGAAAAATGAATGCAAAATGCAGAGAAAAGAGAATTAAAAAGAGTTAGAGGCTTTTGTAGAACACTGCTTGCTCCAAAATATTGAGCCATGCATTTTATATTTTATATGAATACAAGGCCTTTACCATCAAGAAAGGCAGGTAGTCTTCTGTGTAAAACATTCAGGGACTAGCACAAGATGGAGTATAACAGCAAAGGTGCAGGTGACTGAGATTACAGAGGAGCAGTCAGTTTAGACTGCTCAACTAAGATGGGTTTAGGGATGCAGAGTAGCAAGTAACAAAGTGGAGTCTTGTGCAAAACCAGACTACCCTCATGTGAAAGAACTGAGATCCTGTACAGCTGAAGATGCAGTGTGGGGTTCAGGCATGAAATGCACTTCTTTTTGGTCTTTTTGAGACAGGGTCTTGCTATGCAGTTCAGGCTGGCCTTGAGCTCACTTTGTAGCCCATGCTGGTCTCGAACTTGAAACGATCTATCTGCCTTGGCCTCCTGAGTGCTGGGATTACAGGCATGTCCCACCATGCCCAGCTATGAAGTGAATTTGTTAATAAGTCGTGCTTTAGTTATTTGTTGAAGGCTATTTAGGAATGACAGACTGTGTAGAAGAAAAAACAGAAGTCCCTTTTTCTCAAGAGTTCTATTTTATAGAGTATATGTGATAAGCACAAACTAAGTAAATAAATGATCAAGGGAAGTTTTGTGATGGAGATAAACCATGGGTAATGTGATAAAACGTGGGTGGGAAATGAATTAGATAAAATGGTCCGAAGGACGTCTCTAAGGAGTGGTGTTCAGCTGATAAGATGCAACTCCGTTGTGCTGAGAGGAACAGTCAGAAAGGCAGATCAGTCAGAGTGGTTTAAAGTCTTTAAGGGTAGAGGATAAATCAGCGATTGGCCAAGATTCACACCATGAACCTTTTGGTAGTGGATGCTAAGAACCTTAAGCAGGAAAGACTGCCCATAAGAAGATACAAACAAGTCACAGATTTACCTAGGGTGGCTTTCAACTTCACTGACCAACAGTATCGGGAGTTCAGATAGTTTGTCCTTCATCTTAGCCAGAACACTATAGTAATTTCTGAATTTGGCCTAAAACTGAGGATTTGAGTATGACTTCAAACGGAGGTCCTGGTGCAGACAACACATAGCCCAGGAGGCACAGTACATTATATTAAAAAAAAAATCTAGACGATGAGGGGCAGTAGTAGTGGCCCTCAGTGGGGCTTTGCATGGAGAAGATAAAGAGCTGTGTCTGATAGCAGATGGACGTCAGAGTTGAAGAACAAAGGCCACATGTATTTTGTTTGTTTTTGAGACAGGGTCTCGCTATTTAGTGTAGGCTGGCCTTGAACTCACTGCGATCATCAGCCTTCTGAGTGCTGAGATTACAGATGTGCGCCGCCACACCTGGCAAAGCCACATACTTTAGAGGACCTCCAAGTGGTCAGAATTAGTTTCCATGCCTTTAAAATGGCCACAGTAAGAATTCCTCACTCAGCTGGGGGCAAGCCTGTAATCCCAGCACTTTGAGGGGCTGAGACAAGAGGATCACACGTTTCAGCCCAGCGTGGGGAACTCTAGGAGTCCTATCTCAAAATATCATACGGGGGGTGGGTATGTAGATTGGCGCGAAGGTCCTGGGTTCAATTCCCAGTATCACCCAAAACGGAACAAAACCAAGCCCAACCCCCATTCCTTACTATCCCACACAGCAGGAAACTTTAAACGAGGCACAGAAGGTACACTCGTTTGTGCGGAAACAGGCTCTGGACAAAGAAAATCATACCACGCCAGTAAGTCCAGGACAATATCTAAAACTGGGGAGTCTGCACTTGTGGTCTTAGCCTTACAGGGGTCCAGGATGGACTTCAGGAGGCATGGGTATTGCACGTACGTTTGCACGGGAAGCGATCTAGAGGAATGGACCTTAAGAAAGCCGTAGAACAGTAGTTGAAGTCTCTCCCACGGCCACATCCTCATTGCTCCGAAAAAAGACAGGGTCAAGCCTAATACTTTTCTCAGATTCCTGAGAAGACATAACTCCTGGAATTGAAGTAACCATAGCGTAAACACTATTCCCCTGGATAAGGAGTCACCACCCGCTTTGTCCATCGCGAGAGCATTTGCACTTCCGGGCACGAGGCATTGCGGGGCTGGTAGTCCAGACTGTGGCGCGGCTACGGGTCGTAGATGCCTCAGAACTACATTTCCCAGCGAGCCTCGCGCAGCACCCGGCTTGGACCGTGCGTAAGAGCGTTCAGACTTCCGGACGAGCCAGGGGCGGGACAGCACCAGAGGCTGGAGCGAGGTGTCGGGATGCAGCGCCCCGGGCCCTTCAGCACCCTCTACGGGCGGGTCTTGGCCCCGCTGCCCGGGCGGGCCGGGGGCGCGGCCTCTGGCGGAGGCGGGAACCTCTGGGGCCTCCCCGGCTCCCACGTGCAGCTGCCGGGGCGTGCACAGTCTGGGTCCGTTGGCGACACGGGAAGCACAGGCGCGCGCGGCCGGGTCTCCAGCAGTCTCTGCCCGGCTCGCTCCACGATGTCCAAGGCCGAGGAGGCCAAGAAGCTGGCGGGCCATGTGGCCGTGAAAAACCATGTGAGGGTGAGCGGCTCGGGGCGCGGAGGGTTCGCGGTGCGCGCGGAGGGGCGCTGGGCGCGCCTCCTTCTTGGAAGGCGGGGGCTGAGCGGCGCGGAGGGTGAGCCCTTGGCGGAGCTGCGACGTCTCTTCCCTGCTCCCCAAAGACCTTTTAGCGGTGGAAGCGGTTGGGAGCAAGTCCCCTAAAAATCGAGCGCACCAGACACGCCTTGCAAAGTGGCGTCCGGCGGCGTCTGATGTTGGAGTGGGGATTAGGGGCGCTGGCTGCGCGGCCTCCTTGTCATGAAACCGAAAATGGTGAGCTGGGGCCGTCTGGAGGGCTGTACTTCTTGTTGCTCTGGAAGGATGGCAGGGAGCCAGTTTAGAAAGTGCTTTGAAATTTCTCTCCAAGCTGGGCGCGCGCGCGGGTTCCTGAGTTCCCGGCGGGAGGCCAGGAGGGGAAGCCGCGGCTTTAAACCTCTTTCTTTGACAGCGCCGGACAATCGCTTGACGTTTGGAGGATGCGGGTCTTTAAGGTGGAACTGCGGAGATGTTTAGCAGTTAGTTTGTTAAGTGACAGGTGTGGTACTGTTCGCTGCTGGAGTCTGTTAACCCAAGTGTGTTTGCTGGCACCAGTCAGGTTAATTGTCTTAATTATAGCAGCGCAGCGGAAGCCAAGGGGAGTATTTCTGCCTTGTGGTGGAGTTTCCCGGTCTTGTTAACTCTTTGTCCCTGTTCTCCGTTTCTGGGGTAGTGGTATTAGATTCTCCCTTGTTCTCAACGCTTCTGTGCACAAAGTTACGAAGACAGCGTCCTTCGAACTTCACTTCAGCCTGGTTATGTGGGAGGGGCCGGCGTGATAACCTGTGGCTCAGCCTGTTCTGTAGAAGGAACGGCCAGACCAAGTCCCTCTCGTGCCAGGGCCCTCCCGCCGGTTCCGCTGCTGCCTTGTTCTGGTGTACCTTTTGACAGGTCCAAGGAGGTCCCCAGAGTGGATATGGGGAACCTAGACGCACCCTTCCCAGAGAGAAAGTTAGCTGTCCCCTGTTGCAGAAAAACGATTTTGGGCTGTGGATATAGCTCAGCGGCATAAGTGACTGCCTGGCAAGTGCAAGGTCCTGAGTTCGATTCCTGGTACCAAAAAAAAAAAAATTATCAGAAAAAGAATTTTCCAGACTAGTCAGTGAGAGGCATGCAAGGGAAACATTCATTTAGACTTTTTTTTTTTTGGTCTTTTTGAGACAGGGTCTTGCTATGCAGTTCAGGCTGGCCTTGAGCTCACTTTATAGCCCAGGCTGGCCTCGAACTCACAGTGACCCACCTGCCTCAGCCTCCCAAGTGCTGGCCACCACACCCGAATGGGGGTTTTCCTAAAATGAATTATCAGGATGTATATTCTAGGGTCTGTTGGGTTTGCCCATTTTGGGGGGCTACGTTGAAGTGCAAACCATTTGCATGTGATTGAAGCGGAGATACACTATTCTGTTAATAGTGAACTTCCTAAAATGGGGATTGGTAGGGAGGAGCACAATTTTTAGGTGAAAACCAGATTTTTAGGCTTATTGTGTCCAAAGCCTTTAGGAATTTTTCCTGGATTTCTGTCCTGAAGCTTCAGTTTTTGTTAAAGGTACAATTTAGAAATTACTGATTTTCCTTTTTTTTTTGATCTCTTTGAGACAGGGTCTCACTGTGCAGTTCAGGCTGGCCTTGAGCTCACTTTGTAGCCCAGGCTGGCCTTGAACTCACAAACGATCCTCCTGCCTCAGCCTCCCAGGTGCTGGGATTACAGGTATGCACCGCCACGCCTGGCTTCCTTGTCTCTTTTTCTGCCTATCTTTATTTCTTTTATTCTATGTCAGCTTGTTGCAACTGGTTAGCAATAGGATTTTCTATAGGAATTAAGAGATATAATATAAAATGTATAGTTTTGCTCAAAGTTGGGGATTCAGTGCCACAGCCATAAAGTTTGGACAGTAAACTGAAATTTTAAAGTACCTATGTAAAATGAATTGTTAATAGATGGGTAAAACTATACAGATAGAAAAGTTCAATATTAAGGTTGTTCTGCTACCAGATTAACATTTGGTTGCACATGTCTCCTTGACCTTTGTTTTATAGTTTTTATTTGGTTAAATAATCTTCAAATCCTCATCTCAGGTGCGATTCCTTCCCAAAACCACTGGATTTCAGCCACATTATTTAAGCAGGTTATAAGGTGATGATGGGGACACCTCCTTTAGCCTTTGGGGGGCACCTATTGAAAATGTATGCCTTTCAAGGTTTGATTCAAAGGCCATTTCCTATTTTCAGCTTTTCCTTAACTTCCTAAGGAGAGGACGATTCTGAGGCACATTATGTTGGTGGCTTATGTTCTAGACATGTTTGTCCCTCCCAACCCCAGAAAGGGTAAGCTCCTACAGGAGAGTTAACTTTATCTTCATTCATTGCTGGCCACAGTGAGACTTGCTCTTAAATGTTCACTGAATTGATTGCCTGAAGTATGTGTGGACATATATATGGAGATTGTGGAGTTACTGATGGCCTTTTGTTTAGAACCTTTGGAATGGAGGGTTTCATACCTGTAGCCTTTTGGTGTTCCAGTTTGGTGCCCAGTTCCATTTCTGGGTGAGTGGAGAATTTGGAGAGATCTCAGCTGAGGCCTTTGTATCGCTGGGTCCAGATCTGTCTGTTTCCGAGGGTGTAGATAGTATCTGAAACGGGCTGCTGTGTAGGACTCTGCTTTCCTGAAGGTCTGTGGCCTTACCCTTTTGTTCTCTGTGGCAGCTGGGCTTTGGTTTTTGACTGATTTAGCCTGAAGAAATTTGAGGGCAGTGGCAATGGTTCTGATTGTTTAGTGGATGTATTTCCAAGGTTACATTGGACAAGGTGAGTTGCACAAAGGACATACGGTTTAAAAGGGCCTTCTGCCATTGGGCCACCTTGTAAGCAGCCTTTGGCTGTCTCTGACTGGCTTTGATTCCTGCACCAGTCATTTCATACCAAGGTAGCAGTGATGTGGGAGAGTAAAACTCCCAACCTGCTTGATGTCAGATGTGCTGAATTCGTGTCCCCTGAAATTGAAGAATGAATTACAAAGGAGGTTAAGAATATGAAAGGTTGATAGGATAGGAATGAATAGCTGCTGAAAGGCAGGAGGGGTCCAAAGTATGTTGCCTCAGAGGTCAGAGTCACTGAGGTGGGTACAACATGGGTTAAACTTCAGTCAACCAATGAGATTACGAGTATAGCCTCTTAGCTAATATTGAACCAGTAGGGAAGCAGGGCACTTAGCAGGGGTATATGGATGACGTCATTAACTTTAGTCCATAATCTATAGTCTCAGTGAGTGGGAGAGGATGGCCCAGTGAGATGATGGTTTATTTCTATGGGAAATCCCAAAAGGATGGTACCAAACAGTATAATTGCAAGTTTCTGTTTATACTTTAAGGAAGCACGTAAATCTGGCCATTGTGATTTTAATCTCAAGGCCCTGCCTTCTTTAGATACTCCTCCCACCACAGTTGTAGTGTGTCTCATCTTTCGCTGCACTGACTCCCTTGAGGGCCTCGCCCTGTGTAACTGCCTATTAATTTCTGTGTCTGCAATAGCAGGATTGCATGATGTGAGAGCTTTGGGTCTAGCAGGTACCTGCAATTCCTGGCCTTTTTTTTTCTTGTTTTTTTTTCCGGTACCGGGAATTGAACTCACGACCTCCCACTTGCCAGGCAAGCACTGGGCCGCTGAGCTAAATCCCCAGCTCCTTCCTGGCCTTTTCTAAAAGCCAGAGGAATTGTAGACCTTGTGTGACTCAAGTTTATCTTGAGTAATGCCTGATGTGGGAGTCTGAGGGTGACTTGAGTTTATGGGTGAGCTTGACTGTGAGGAATCTGGCAATCAGATTACTGTGTGACTGAGTTCTGAGCTTCAGGTCAAGTGTACCCAGTCATTGAGAAATCAAGACATTTTCTTCATTGCTTCAAGGTTGTTACATGTTGAAATATGTAGCCATGTTGAATGGTTTTGTGTTATAATGTCTTGCAGTGATGTTAAGACGTTCATTGACTTGTCTTAAAGTCCTTGTGTTTGGGATTTGCCACGGCAGCTAAATGACTGTTGGATGTGTTGCCTTCTTGGGATTGTTGTGGGTGGAATTTTGATCAGGGTGATATAGGGGAAAGAAACCTTCAACCTACTAGATATGTGGTATGAATTCGTGTTCTCTAAAATCAAAGAATGAATTTTAGGAACAGTGGAGGTTAAGAGCAGAATGTATTTATTGAAGAAAAGAAAGCTGAGAGAGAAGGGGACCCTAGTGGGTTGCCAAGGACCCTGTCTTTTCTAGGATTTTTATAGAGCACATCCCCAAGGTGAGGCAAGTCCAAGGAGGGAAACATGGGAAATCACAAGGTGTGCATGAGATGGGACAAAACTATGGTCAGCCAGTAAGACTACAAATGTAATTGCTCAGGTAAAATTGATTAAATCGGGATCAAATGGTGAGGTAAGTCACGCAGCAAGCAGCCATGAATACAGAACAGGAACTTTTCCTCTAGGCGGGTGGGTTAGTGACTCTTCCTGTCTTTTTCAAGGTGATGGACACTTACTTAAAATATCAGTCCCTGATGTCCATCCCTAGGGAGGTGTGTGGGTGGACTAACCCCCACATCTTTTGTTTCATCTTTTGTCTTGAGGTCTTCCCACAGCAGAAGTGTCTATCTCTCCCATAGCTGCAAGGTAGCTTGTCTTCCATACTGGCTCCCTCGAGGGCTCAGCCTTACTTGACTACCTATAATGTTTCTCTCTAACTCAGGTGCCTACAAGGGCATGCGCTGCTCTGATGGCCTAAACCCTTTGATGCACTTGGAACTTTAAACTAGTAAAAGTGGTTTCCAGCAGATTAAGAGGCTAGACATTGATGAAATCTGTGGCTAGAAGAAACCTGAGTACGAGCATTTTCATTATACAAGTGTGTGACTGGGGACATTAGTGTGTGTGTGTGTGTGTGTGTGTGTGTGTGTATGTATATACTCAATTCTCTCTGTTGGTCATTCTTTTTACTCTTTAGTTTTAACTATAGTCTGACTAAGAAGGATCATATTTTCATATTAAGTAAGGGGGTTAGGACTTTATTCCTCAATATTCCTAAAGCTTTGTCCTGTGGGGAGTGAAGCATTTGCCTTGTGGCTATGTTTGTTCTGAGGGATTCCAGGACTTTCCTTCTTACAAAGAAAACTTCACAATGGGCTTTCCCTTGCCAAAATGAATTGTTAATCAGTTGTTGGAACGTTAAAGAAATTTGAAATGCAGTGCTGTTTCAACAAAACGAACTGCCTGAAATTGGTTAGATTTCAGGGTACACTAATAAGTAGTGAGACTTATTCAAAGTGAGATTTGTTGTGTTTGTGTGAAGTGATACTGTTAAAAGATTTTTTAAAAAGGCAAAATCATGATACAGATACAAAATGCACTTTTTTTTGTTTTGCTTTTTTGAGACAGGGCCTCACTGTGCAGTTTAGGCTGGGCTTCAGCTCACTTTGTAGCCCAGGCTGGTCTTGAACTCGTAATGCTTCTCCTGCCTCAGCCTCCTGAATGCTGGGATTGAGTTATAGACACATGCCACCATGCCCAGCTAAACTGCACATACTAAGATTTTGTTTAACTCCTGGAAAAGATGTTAGAACCTGTTCTCAGGTGTCTTAGTCCATTTTCCTGCTGGGCATTGGGGTATTTGTAATGTACAGAAATTTATTGACTCACAGTTCTGGAGGCTGGAAAATTCAATACCAAGGTGCTGGTACCTGGAGAGATGAGAGTCGATAGGTAGATACTATCTAGATACTATCTAATGGGCACTAGTCCCCACCACCCCCCAGGTGTCTTGGATTGATCACTTCCCAAAGGGCACACCTCTTTTTTTTTTCAGGTACCGGGAATTGCACTCATGACCTTGCGCTTGCCAGGCAGGCACTGTACCGCTGAGCTAAATCCCCAGCCCCCAAGGGCACACCTCTTAAAAGAGACGCCCCCACCTTAGGATGGTTTGACTTGGAAGTTTTGATGATGTGAAACCATATATGTTCAGTAGAAACTGAACTTTGAATTTTGCATTTTGGCCTTTTCTGGGCTAGTGATAGGTGGCTGGATAAACTCCCAGGACGCTGAGCAGTAGCTGTGAGCCGCACCTCCCAGTCAGCCACAGGGTCACAGGAGGAAGGAGCCAGCATGGTGTGAGCTGTTGCTAAGCTAGGATGTTCTGTAGGTCAGGTGTGTGTGTGTGATTGTTTTAAATATTACAAATATTTTACTAATATTAAATTCAGAAATAAAATCCAAATGGTTCTCTGAAAACAAGGTATTAGGGTATCAATGTATTACAGTCCAATGAACAGGAGGTAGTATTTTATTTCATTTTAGTTTTTTTGGTTCTTTTTTTTTTTTTTTTTGAGACAGGGTCTTGCTATGCAGTTCACACTGGCCTTGACCTCACTTTGTAGCCCAGGCTGGCCTCTTGCCTCAGCACCTCCCAGTCAGTAACTGAGGTGAGTAACTAGTTTAGAGAGCCTGAGTTCCCACTGGTCATTTTAAAGCCATAGAGTTGCCTGTGACAGGTGGTCACTAAACAATTGAGCCATTTGTGTGTGAGGGGCCTCGTGGCACCCCACTTCTCAGGGGCCCCTCCTGATACTTCGGGTAAGAATTATTTGCTCTGTTAAAAATTTTCCACAAGTTTGAGTCTGTCAAATAGCATACACTCTTGTATGTCAGATAATACAAGCAGGTTCTAGCATTCTATTGAAAAGATAGTCCGTAACATCTTGCTTATTTCAGCTTTTCCTTACAGTGTTGAACTCATACTAAAGCATTGGGACTGTAGGTCATGCGAGAGTGCTGTGAGGTATATCTTTATATTAACACTTGTGAGTCCTTTTGGCTGGTGCTTAATAAATGTTAGCTGCCGCTTTGATTTTAGTAGTTTTGCTGCAGCTGAACATGGTCCACGCTGGCCCCTATTTGCTAATCCCTGGCCTTGTTTCGCTCTTTGTAGGTGGACTGGTCTGCTCATAGGTCCTTTCACCCTTCCTTAAGATTGCAGGCTCAGTGTTGTGACACATGTCTCTTGCCCTCTGTGCTCAGGGAGTGCTCTGCATCTATTGCACATCCTTCCTGCACGTGATAACATGAGTTATCTTCTGTTCCTTGCTAAGCCTTTACTTGTTTCCTGTTTTCTCTGAGACTGGCTGAGGCAGACAAGGGCTCCGTGGGCGTTAATTGGGCAGATGCTGACATGTCTTACTATTTTGATGTTACTTTAGACCCTTGCCTCTTCTGTTGACCCCATCCTGGATGGGCCTGGTGTGACCTTAAGGTTTTCTATGCTGTTACCAACTTGCAGGTGCCCTGCCTTCTAGGTGGAAATCTTGGGTGAAAAGGGACTGATGCCAGGCACTCCAGCTTTCTACACCCACCCAGGCTGTTGTCTGTTTCTACGGCCCTTTCTTTCAGCCCTCACTGCGGTTGGCCAGGAACCTTCTAGGGTTTATCTGCAGCTGCGAAGTTGCTGTGTGGTGTAATTGAGCAAATCATTTGTTAGGCAGAATGTAGGGAGGGAGTGGCGACATTAACTGTCAGCCTCGAAAGCGTGAGGGCTCTGTTGATTAAGTGCCCACTGGGCATCAGGATAAAGTACAGCTTTGAGGTTCCGTGGCTGTGCGTCTGTGATACAGGCATAGGACCGGCTTTGCACTTGTCTTTGTGAATTGCTGTTCATCATCATTTCATAGCTCTAGAAGAGGATACAGTGGAATAAAGTATGATAGTAATTCTTTTTGTCTTCCCTTTTTTGGCAGAATAACCAAGTGCTGGGAATCGGAAGTGGTTCTACAATTGTCCATGCTGTGCAGCAGATCGGTACGTTCTCAGCCTGTGCACTCTGTGCGCGGTGGCAGGGGTAGGGAGGAGATGGGCAGGGTTTGGCGCCCGCAGGGCAGAGCAGGGGCGCTGGGACTGCTTGCCTGAGGTCATTTGAGTGTTGCTGCTTGTCTTAGGAAAGGGGGATGCTTGGACCCGTTCAGCTGGCCTGGGAGGTCCCCTTGCCTTTGTTCAGTCTGTTCAGCTTCTGGGGTGGGTGATGGTGGTGGGGAGGTGGTGGGAAGCAGGACTGAGCTGGAAGGAGGTAGGAATACAGACGGCGGTGGTAGGAAGGCGGGGAGAGCTGACTTAGATGAGGGCCCAGCAGAATTTCAGTCACGATGGGGGCACACTCCATTCATGGCCCTGTGTTTTGGTCTTGGGCTTTCTGTGAAGCTGGTGGGTTCCTCAGACAGACAAGTTGAGGTCAGAGTCGGTTTGCCCCGTCCGCGGCCCTGGGGTAGGTGTGGGACAGAGTAGGCTGCCCTCAGTTGGGCTGTCTCTGTGCTTAGGAAAGGCACAGGAGTGAACAGCCCTGTGGCTGCCCAACAGGTTCTGCTGCCCTGCTCTTTGTGAAAACAAAGCCCGGAGGAAAGGGTTACCCAAACGCTGGTGTCTTCAGGTGCCAAGGGGCAGGGCCTGGAGGCAAAATTCTGGTTCACTGGTCATTGAGAACTGCTTGCTGACGTGATGGCTTCTGGGAGCCTGCATGGGGCCAGGCAGGAGCTGTAGTACTGTGCACCTTTCTACTTAACTAAGTATGGGGAGAATTTTAGGGTGTGGGAATTACTGTGGATTTTATGAGAGTGGCACCTGAACCTTCCAGGATGCAGATTAGAGTGACTTGAAATTTTTTTTTAAAGGGATCTGTATTTATTTATTCTTTTTTTTTTTTTTTTTTCGGGTGTTGGGACTTGAACTCATAACCTCATGCTTGCCAGGCATGCACTGTACCACTGAGCTGTACCACTGAGCTGTACCACCAGCCCCCAATGACTTGAAATTTTAAGAAGAATATTTTCATTATGACCTTTTTTTTTTCTTTTTGGTTTCTTTGAAACAAGGTCTTGCTGCATACCCCAGGCTGGCCTTCAACTTGTGATCCTGTGATTGCTTGCCTCAGCCTCCCTGCTGCTGGAATTATATATGTGTGTCACTATGCCCAGCTTAAGACATTTTTAAAAATTAAACTTTCCTGAAAGTTTTAAGACAATAAATAAGCAACTCCAAAATGAATGAACAACTTCCCCTTCTAACTGTCCTTTGGGATCTAAAATTACTATATTTTTATTAAATGCGAAAGTACAGTTGTACTTACAAAAGGCAACATAAAGTAGTGGTTAATAAGACTGTAAAGCTAAAGTGCCCAGGATCATATTCCAGCCTTTCCATACTTAGAACCAGCTGATCACTACCAAGTTACCTACTTTTCCTCTCTGTTCCTCAGTTTCTTTGTCTGTAAAATAGAGATGATAAGCTGGGCTTGGGGGCTCTCACCTATCATCCCAGCACTTGGGAGATTGAGACCAGCCTGGGCTACAAAGTGAGCTCAAGGCCAGCCTGAACTGCATAGCGAGGCCCTGTCTCAAAAAAAAAAAAAGATGATAATCTGAACTTATCTCTTGGGTTGCTCAGATTAAAACAGCTCATTTATACAAAGTTCTTAACCTATCCCCAGGCCCATACCAATAGCAAGCATTAACATAGCTCTCGGATGGCAGTCTGTGCCGGGCTCGTACTCACCTGCCCGGTTTCTACTGTACCTGTCACTGGTTTTCTCCTCACGGCTCGGGAGGGACACAGAATTTGAACAAAGGGACAAGAGACAAAAAAAATAAAGTGAGACAGGTGAAAAATCACCACTCTGCCTTGTTGTGTCTTCACAGCTGAAAGAGTGAAAGAAGAGAATCTGAGCGTCGTCTGTATCCCTACCTCCTTCCAGGTAAGTCCCGCTTTCTGCTCAGCGTCTTGGCTCTAGCTCAGTCTCGTGGTTCCCTGAGGATGCGGACACCTGGCTGTGTTGCACATCACATGGTTCTGGGTGAGAGAGCCAGGCATAGGAGAGGCATTTATAGAGAGATGATTGCTCTTCACAGTGTGGTGTAGGTGTGCTCATCTATTCGTCCCGAAAAGTTCCAGTGGATCTTGAGTTCAGGCTCTGTGGAGTACTCGTAGTAATCGTGTGGTCTCTGTCCTCAAGGAATACAGTCTTATCCCTACCTGCAGGTGAAAAAATTTGAGGCTAAAAAAGGAATTAAGTGAGGTGTTAATAATACAGGTAGAGTGTTTTGATTATTGATTAGATGTCTAATGTTCTTTGATCATAAAGTAGTAGGCGCTGGAGGAGGAAAGCAGTGGAGCCATTAAAGATTAGGAGAGACAAGAAGAGTGGACACTGAGAACAGGAAGGCGAGAATGACTCAGTCCTTTGGTTCTCTAGAGGATTCTATTTTAAATGCCTTTGAAATTGTGAGGGTATTGCTATGTCGTCCGGTTTTTAATTTGCTATTGAGGAGCTTCATGCCATTGTGATTGTGATCCTTTGTCTGAAATGTGTTTTTAATCTTCTCAGAACCATATACCCTTCAGTGATCTTCTTTCAGTGGGCTGAAAAGGCCCTGATGTGAATCTGGTTGTATTCACGTCGTGTTTGCCAATGAGGCACGGCCCAGTGAGATGACAGCAGAGGCTTTAAACCTTTTTTCTCTTTAGCACTGGTGATGGAAACCAGAGCCTTTGTACTGAGCACATTTCCAGTCTTCTCCCCAGCCCCTTGCTTTTTAAGAATTTTTAAGTTTCAAGATGAGACAGGGTAAGTTGCCGAGCCCCTGAGTGCTGGGATTACAGGTACATGGGAACAGGCCTGCCTTCCAGCTTGTTTCATTTTTTATTCTTGAGACAGGGTCTTGCTTAATGGCCAGACAGGACTTGAACTTGTGATCCTTTTGCCTTGGTCTCTCAGGGTGCTGGCATTGCAGGCATGTGCTGCCAGCTTGGAAAAGTGCTTTTGCACGGGGGCTTGGCCTCTCGGTACCGGAACATTCTGCCACCATGTGAACAAGGTGAGGCTAGACTAGCCGCTAGGTGGCTGGGGGATGAGAAGCCGTGTGGAGGGTGGTTCTGGGCAAGTGTGAGTGGGGCCTTCGGACACTAGTACCTAGTTGCAGAGACTTTGCAGTTTGTCCATGGAATCATGAGAATTATAAATATGTGCTCTTTGAAAGCCTCTGCATGTCAGGGGAGCTGCTGGAAAGCAAGAGCTCATTGATAGAGGGTACTCTTGTCCTCAGCTATGGTTGGTAGCCTAGTCCTAAAACCAGCTGTTTTTCCTTTTTCAGGAATCAACATGCTGCCCTAGGAGGGATATCATGTTCTTAAGTAGACTTTGCACCAGTCTCATGTGATTTCCGTTTATAACACTGCTTCCTGAGTCTTTTGGGAAGTTCCGTGTTGTTGATTTCGTTGCTTCATAGCTATCTCCGGTCCTGGCCTAGTATATCCTCCTTATTTCTGCTGCTTACCTTTGCCCAGCAGAAGCAACTCGTAGAGTATAGTAATTACAAGAGGGGATTTACAGATTGACTCACTTGGTCAGGGGCTGCATAGTCCCACAGTGGCTGTCTGCAGGCTGAAAAGCCAGGGAAACTATTAGCTGGCTGCTTCATTCAAGAACCGGGAAGGCTCAGACCTAGAGGATCAGTGATGCGGCCCCAGTCTGTGGCTAACAGCGGCCTGGAGGCCCCTGGAGAGTTGCAGTCAAAGTCTGAAGAGTTCAGAGTCTGGAGTCCTCTGCTGACAGTAGAGCAAAATACCCCACACCTGCCCCAGAAGTGCAGCGTGTGCCTAGCGTGAGCTCCCCATGCTGAGTTTTTTCTGTTGGCCCCCAGCCGTTCAGGACTGGGCTTCTGCACGGACTTGGATGACACACGAGCCAGTGTTCCCTGGATGCCCCCTCACAGACACCCAGAAGTGTGCTTTGCCGGGTTTCTAGGCAGCCCGCAGCCCCCAGGCAAGTTGAGAGCCAGTATTACCTGTCACATCACAGCTTTTAAAAGTTTATCACTGTTTTGTTTGGCCAGGTTTATACCTTTAAAAAGAACTCTGTTCTTGTAGTTTTAAAGTGGTTTGGGAATGAGCTGAGCTATTCAAATTGCTATCTTTAGTGTTTGTGCCGCCCCCTTTTTTTTAAACAGAACAGTCTCTTAACCCACCTGTTCTTAGTGACAATTGATAACAGTGTGTCTAGACTGGAAAATGCTGGCCAATTCCAGTTAATTAGGTGGAGTCACTTGAAGTTCCCAGGGCTTAATAACTCCCATGTCTAGTTATTCTTACCCCACTGCCCAAACTTATTTTGAGTTAAGTGTAGCCAGATGGGATCTTCTGAAATGGTTGAAAGGAAATAAAAATACTTTTTGCCCTACTTTTTTTTGTTTATTTGTTTTTTGAGACAGGGTCTTTCGAAGTAGCCCAGCTGGCCTTGAGGTCACAATGTAGCCCGCACTGGCCTGAAACAGTAATCCTCCTGCCTCAGCCTCCCAAGTGCTGGGATTACAGGTGTGGGCTACCACACCCAGCCCATTGCCCTACTTTTAAAACAAGTAAACCTAAAAGGATTTAAGTGATTTTGGTAGATTTTCCCTTTAAAGCCAAAGGCTTTTGGAAGAGAAGAATAAAGCAGTTGCAAGTCAGGTCTAATTTAAGCCCACATCAACTTTTATTATTCACTTTGCCTTCATTCCCACCTCGGTTGAGTGGTAAAAGGAAAATGGACCACTTTCAGATTTTATTGTGAAATTCATGGGAACAGAGGACCACTTAACTCGCCTGCCTTGTGCCATGGTTTTGGAGGCACAGCTGTGGGACTGGAGCAAGGTGTTGCTTCCTGTCTTCAGCAACACAAGCCGGGCTTGCTTTCCTGCTCCGTACACTTTCTGGCCTCTGGCCAGAAGGGGGCGCGGTGCGTCTGCTGCACTTTCTGGAGACCCCTCAGCTCCCTGGGTGGGGACAGCCGGGGTCCAGCAGGTGCTGGTCTCACCTGCGCACCTGCAGCTGCCTTGTGCTGACTGAGCCGGCGATGGGTTGCCACTCCTGCAGTTGTGTGGAACCCAGAGCAAGGCAGTTGTGTTTTTACCAGAGCAAGGCAGCCTGACTGAGTGGGCTTCCAAACCAGATGTTTCTCGTTGCCTAATTCTGAAGGCGGGAAGTCCAAGGCCAAGATGCTGGCCGTGTTTCCTTCTGAGGCTATCTCCTCCCAGCTTTTGGCACAAAACTGAAAATAAGTTGTTATCTGACCTTCCAAGAAATCAAATAAGGGGTAACAGCAGTTTCTTAATTAAGCAGGCCTGTTTCATTTGGCATGGATAATGAAGTTCTGCTTTAAACAAAATCATGCATTGGTTCTACTGGATTCTCAGTTCCTACATGTACTATTTATATTTTTATTTTCTCCTTTATTATATATTTCTCTTTAATAAAAACAATATCATGAACTTTTTAAAAATTTTATTATTATTTTGGTACCAGGAATTGAACTCAGGACCTCACATGTACCAGGCAGATGCTATGTTGCTGAGCTGTATCCCTGGCCCTATTTTTCTTGGAAACAGGGTGTTGTTATGTAGTACAGGATGGCCTTGAACTTGAGAGCCTGCCTCAGCCTCCTGAGTGCTATGATTATAGACACATTGTCACCATGCCAGGCAATGAATTTTTTTTTTTGAATCTTTTTTTCTTTTTTGTCTTTTCGGTATCGAGGATGGAACTCAGGACCTTGAGTTTCCCAGGCAGGCGCTTGTGCCACTGAGCTAAATACCCAGCCCCATTGAATTTTTTGGGGGAACGTTTTATTTTAGCCTTTTATTCTGGGAAATTTAAAACTTCAACAAGGATAAAGAACAATAAAGTGAATTTCAGGGTACTAACCAGGAAATTTCAGTTATCAATTTGTGGCCAGTCTTGTTTCATCTATATCCCAACCTCTTCTATCACCATTATTTTAAAACAAATTCTACAAATAATTTTATTGTATGTACTTCGTTACGTCTCTGAAAAATAAGGCATCTTCTAAATATCACAACAATATTTTAAAATTAAATTATCTTTAGTAACATCAAATAAAAACCTAGCCTTCACGTTATCCATTAAATTTTGACTCAGAATCCCAAATAAGACCTACACATAGGAAATCCTACACATCATGTTTTATTTATTTTTTTGATTTTTGTGTAAAAATATTGATCTTTATGAGTAAATGTGATCATTTACATTAATGAAGTACAGTAACAAAAATTACAGTATATCTGATTGATAAAGCCATAAAATATTCTTGGAGCAGGAATAGGGTATATACTGTAATGTGAGTGTTATGGTTTAGATCTAAAGTGCCCCCCAAAAGTCTCATGTTCAGAGGTGGGGCTTTTGTTCAGTGTTTTGTTCTTAGAGTGTTAGGATTTTTGATTAGAGGGCTGGCCTTGGTCCTCCTGTGCCCACTTTTGCGTTGGTTTTCTTTTTCTCTTCCCTTCTTCCCTCCCTCTTCTTCTCCCCGCTGCCCCTTCTTGTTCTTTTTCCTTGTGGTGTGAACACGGTGCCTCTCCTAGGCCAGGCAAGCTCGGGGCTCCTGTGAGGCCTGCCTCTATAGTAAATGGGGCTTTTTTTGGAAGTTAGGAATATCTCCTAGGCTGGTGTTTTAAATTTGCACGTTCTTCACTTAACCATTCCAGAAATCTTGCCTCTGAATACTCTTCTGAGTGTATCTCTTTGCTTGTTTTTCCTCAACAGTATGGCCTGTAATCACTGTCAATTCAGTTCTCTTCAAACTTTTTTTGTTCTGCATTGTTCTAAAAAGTTTTTGAATATTTTGTGAATTTGGTTCTTATCTTAGAAAAACTTTAAAAACATGTATTGCCGAAGTTTTAGGAGGCCACGGCACTGTTCGAAGCAGCACGTCGTGGAGTAGGGCTCTTGGCGCAACACTGGAGCCCGGGCTTGACCGTGTGCCTCTCCCGGCTCGCAGGATGAATTCCTTGGTGGGCGGTTTTGCTGCCAGTAGGGCTGTATCTCTTACCTCTTGGCAGAGCAGGATGAGATTTGAGAAGGAGCATGAATCAGGCTTACACTGTTTGATACTTAAATACAAAAAAATCTGAGAATGTTTGCTGTGCGTTCAGAGCACAGGATTACGGGAGGTTTTTCCTGTCCTCCCCAGGCCCGGCAGCTCATCCTGCAGTACGGCTTAACCCTCAGCGATCTGGACCGACACCCAGAGGTAAGAGCAAGAGCGAGAGACCACTGTGCCTTTCTCCTTTTGTGGCTGTCACTTGTTCATGAGCTCCAGGGACCTTGGCAAGTCTAGAGACAGGAGCAGTTAGTCCCACGAGCTTTTCTCCTGGATCCCGAGTATTAGTTCTGGCTAAGGTCTTAGGTGGAGAGGTTTCCAGTTTCACTGTGAGGTGACCCTGAGGGCTCAGCACGAGTGCGGTGAAGGGCAGTGGAGAAGCCCAGCCCTGGTGTGAGCAGGCTGTGGGGCGGATCACTGGTGTGCAGAGGAGAGGTCGTCTTCGGAGGCAGCCATGCACATGTGGAAGGTAAGTCAGTGTCTCGCAGGAAAGGCTGGAAACACTGGAAACGCGGGGGCAGTCCAGAGCAGCCGAAAGTGATGAGGGTACACAGCATCACACACCGCCTAACTAGTGCTTTCTGGGCCATCGCGTATCAGGTATTGTGTGAGGTGCTTTCTTGTACTAAGATCTTTAATCACCACCAGCCTGGAGGGTGGGGACCATAACCGTTGCATGTTATGGATGTAAAAAAGGCACAGGAGAGAGTAAGTCATTTGCTTAAGGCCACGCTATAAGTGGCAGAGCCAGAGTTAGAGCCGGTGCACCTCTGGCCCAGGGCGGTGTTAGAAGAGTTTTGAGGGAAGAGGTAGTTAGAGCTGAGTCGAAAGGCTGTGGGGCAGTGGCAGGCGAGGACTTTCCTGAGAGCTAGGTAGTGACTGAGCTTTGTGGGCACATGTGAGCAGCGCCCAGTTTCTGGGGGTGATTTGGACTGAGTGAATGGAATGCGTTGTGCGTAGTGTGCCGAGAGAGTGGGGATTGGGTGTGGTCTAACCCATGTCACCGTGGTACGCAGGGGCCTGGGAGGGATGGTGGGAACCATGGGAAGGGCTGACAGGGTTTCTGTGGGCAGAGCGGGGCACAGACTGACCCAGCTGTTCTGCAGCTGCGAGGAGTGTCTTTGGGCTGAAGCTGGGCCCCTGGCCAGGCAGAAAAGGTCCTGGAGTGCTGCCCCAGCTCAGCCTGGCCCTAGGGTTAGCGGCGAGCAGGGGGGGAGCAGCGCAAGCTGCAACTTCAGGATGGGAACAGCAGTGCCCTGTGCAAAACTTTCTGGGCCACACCAGCCACATCAAGTGACTACAGCGGGAGTAGGGTGTGTGTCTTACACACTGTTTTTTTAAATCCACACAGGAATTCTCCATGTCCATACAGAGTACCATGATGAGAGCGCCAGTGTCCTTGAGTTCTGAAAGATGGATGAATCCATTTGCCCTTGACTGCCTTGGGGCTGGCAGTGGCGCCTCCTACTAGAGGGACAGGGCGAGCCGGGCAGTTGTTTGGTGGGCTCGCAGTGGGAATGGCCCAGGTAGTTTCTCATTCAGGGCCATATCCAGTGTGTGTCACCTGCTTCATAGACTCCAGGTCATCTTCTTGTCCACTGGAAATTGCCTGTGTTTGCCCGCCTGGTGCCAACCTCTGAATCAGTGTTTCTCAGTGTTTTCCTTATTGCAACCCCCGCCCCACGGAATTTAATACCACGGACACACTGTTATCTCTGTATATACCTCAGGCCCTTTCGGGGGCTGAGCATCAAAATGTTTGACGCTTTCTTTGCTCTCACTCCCCTTCTTTGGGAGTGATGCTACCTGCACTGGGAATGCACTCGTACAGTTTGGGTCTCAGACCTTGAGCTCCTGTCCCTGTGACCCTCGTGAAGCAGCCTAACCTTGGAGCCTGAGGCCCTTGATTGGTTAAGTGGGAAACTGGACCTCGCTGATAGGGCTGCGGAGAAGCGCATAAGCTGTCACCGCACGGCCAGACTCAGTGCAGCGGCCCCACTCAGGAGATGCTCAGGGCTTTGTGTCTGTCCTTCTCCCGACAGATTGACCTTGCCATCGATGGTGCTGATGAAGTAGATGCGGATCTCAATCTTATCAAGGGTGGTGGGTGAGTGCTGTAGGAACTTTATTTATTTATGAATTTCTTTGTTTGTACCTGAGATTGAACTCAGGACCTTGCGCTTGCCCAGCACGCGCTGTGCCACTGAGCTACATCCCCAGCCCAGGAATTTTATTTCTAAAGACTTCAGTGTGTCTTTATGAAAGCAAATGGAATACAGAATTACCAAATTGTCACTGCGGTGTATGTGACTTTGTTTTTCTACTTGGACTCTGTGACCTTTGCATCAGCCTGACATTTCTGGTGAGTAGTGTCAGTCCGGTGCCTGGGAACCTTGGCTTCTTCCGTGAGATCGTATGTACATCTTCTGTGTTTCCGCATTCTGCTGCTGACTCAGACTTTTAATCACGCCCGGGTGAGCCAGCATACTATCCATCAGCTGGAGTGTTAGGCCTATGGGCTTTGTATTGTGACCTTCGCCCTGGAGCTGCCCTTAACATCTGTGAGCATTTGGGGATGTGATTCATTCATTTGGAAGAAGTTTATTGGGTGTTTTTAAGTGCTAGTTTCAGGAGGAGGGACTGGTGAGTGGAAAAGGTAAAATCCTGACTTGCTGGTTAACAGTGAAGCAAAGCAGTACTGAGTGATAGTGTTTAGAACCACACTTTATTGTCTAAGATTTTCATGTATTGAGTAACCCTCCTGGCTGCAGACGTGAGGTAACGTGGCTGGAGAGCAGCAGAGATAGGCGGGACCAGATCTGACCATGCAGTGCCGGGGCGCTCTCCACTCCATCGCCCCATCACGCAGTGCACGGGGCAGGCTGTTCCGGGCTGGCCCTTATCAGGCCGTGGCCAGGGGACGCTTTCGCAAACACAGTGCTTCTCACATGCATCTTGCAGGCGGCTGTGCCCAGCCTGAATGGGACACATTATCTGCTTTCTAGGTTTCTCCTACACACAGACTAGTGTTTCTGTAGTCCATTCACTAGATGCAGCATAGAGGGCCCTTACAGTTAAATTTGTCTGAGCAGGATTGAGTAGATTTGGTGTTTCTGTTAGTTCCCAAATTGAGATTTTTTTCCTTAGTCCTCTGTTCACTTGCTTCTTTCCCACCTTTAGGGGCTGCCTGACCCAGGAGAAGATTGTGGCCGGCTATGCCAGCCACTTCATCGTGATCGCTGATTTCAGGTAGGGGCTGGGTGTCCTGCACTGCCTGCTGAGAAGGTGGCTTGGGGCCAGCTCCTTACCCTGTGCAGAGAGGAGAAAGTAGAGGGACCGCCTGGCTTTCTGAGGCTGACGGCGAGGATTTAGAGTGTCTTTGAGGGCTCAGTCCTGCTTCCGTGCTGAAGGTGGGTGTTGCTGATTGGCCACAGCCCTCTCACACGGAGCCAGGACTACCAGTGCTGCTGAGTGTTCACGGGGAGGGAGAGGAAGCAGCTTGTCACCGTGTTAGCAGAGCTCGTCCTCATGTGTCTCTGATTACTTCTCCCTGGGAGCCTCCGAGGCAGAGGGCGGCCCTGCCCAAGGCAGTGACTCAGCGTGCCCTGCTGCCTCTGGGGTCAGACTGAACACGTGACTCAGGCCGAGCACAGCCTGCCGGGCTTTCAGGCCCTTCAAGGAGTCTGGGAGGAGGCCTTGGGCCGAGCGTGTCAACTAAAAGTATGTGTGTGTTTATTTATGAAATACAGCTGTAGGAAGAACATAAATAGTAGCACCTACCTATACATATAAATACATGAAAATAAATGTTTATAATAAGCCAACCATATCAAATTTTAACATTTTTATCACACTTATATGAAATACCTCTTAAATAGCCTAGCAGCCAGTCCCTTCGAGGCCCTTTGAACACTGCCCTGATCACTTGTGCTGTCTCCCGGTTGTCTCATTAACCCCTTCTGGAATGTAGTGTTCATCTGTACTGTTCCGCTGATTTAATTTTATTACGTCTTTTGACATAATATGTCTTTTTTTTCCCAGGAAGAATTCAAAGAACCTTGGCGATCAGTGGCACAAAGGAATCCCTCTGGAGGTCATCCCGATGGCCTATGTCCCAGTGAGCCGAGCTGTGACGCGGAAATTTGGGGGTGAAGTTGAGCTTCGCATGGCCGTCAACAAGGCGGTAAGCGGCTGGAGGTTTCTTTTTTTTTTTTTTTTGGTTTTTTTCTCCGGTACCGGGAACCGAACTCACGACCTTGCGCTTGCCAGGCAGGCGCTTTTGCCACTGAGCTAAATCCCCAGCCCCGGCTGGAGGTTTCTGAAGGCCTTTCAGACTCTTGTGCTCCTGGTGGACCTGTAGAGCCTTCATTTAATTAATTAGCTAATTAATTAATTACCGGGAATTAAACTCAGGACCTTACACTTACCAGGCAGGCACTTACGCCACTGAGCGATATCCCAGCTTCATTTATCGTTAATGTTTGCTTTTAGACAGCTGGCTTTGTTCGTGAGTTCAGCCTCGTGTGGGCTCAGACCACGCTTAGCACAGTGCCTGTCCCCTGTACGAGAGGGGAATGGTTGTTTCTCCTGTGCCTGGCGCCCAGCATTTCTCAGGTGACCTGACCTTCGTGCGTAAGGCCTGGACCACCCACTGACAGCTGCCAAACCTGGGCTTGCAGGTGCTGCGCCCCACAGGGCTTCAGATCTCACGGTGTAATGCAAACAGTGTGACAAGAAGTAGACTTTCCTTGGGTTACACGAACGCTTCCTCAGGCATGAGCGGTACATGCTTCAGTCCCGGTGTTTCTCATCAGCTTCGAAAGTGGGTTGCAAAGAACGTTTTTTTTTTTGGTACTGGGAATTGGAATTCAGGATTTTTCACTTGCTAGGCAGGTGCTGTGCCACTGAGCTATATATCCCCAGCCCCAAGAACTTTATATATATACGTATTTATTTATTTACTTATTTATTTAAATAAGCAGTGGTGATCATCTAAAACAAAACTGTAGCTCTGTGTGCAACTGCAAAACGTCTGGAGGACAGGGAAAAGAGGTGATTTGTACCCATGCCCTGGTGTTTTTATTTTGACCAGTTTTCTTCCCTGTGTTGGCTTTTAAAGCACTATAACCCTAGCCCCAGTGGTTATACAGGCTCTGATGGAGCTGCGTGGCTCTCTGTGTAGCTGGAGGCCAGGAGGAGGCTGTGGAGCTTCTTGCTTAGAGCTGAGGTTCACCCAGGGAAGAGCCCAGGCTCTCAGCTTCCCTGGGTTCCTAGGAACTCCCACTTCTCTTCCTCTAGTCTGCAGGGGAGTCTGTTTCCTCGCCTGGGACCTTGGTGTTCTGTCAGTATTTGTGACTGCCCCCTGCCTGTGTGCCCTCTGACTCTATCTCTGTTTGCTGTCTTTAAAAGATATATTCTTATTAGTACCTTAATTTTATAGTTTTAATGTGGTATATTCTTATATGCGTGTAATAAATTTTGATCATGTCTCTCTCCTGTCACCCCCCTTCACACTGCCCTTGCTTAAGTTCCCTTCCTTCAGCCCAGTGATAGTCTTCTGTTGACTTCATGTTATCCTTCTTAGAGTCCACATGTTGCCTGTCTTTTTTTTTTTTTTCCCCCCGGTATTGGGAATCGAACTCACGACCTCACGCTTGCCAGGCAAGCGCTGTGCCGCTGAGCTAAATCCCCAGCCCCTTGCCTGTCTTTTGATGGACTTCCTGATCAGGGTACAGTAGCATTGTCTTAGTTTATATTATCGATGGTACTTACTGTGAGGTTTTGAGCACATGGTGCCATGTTGGAAATTGGTTCTGTTGTAGTTTCTCACTGTAATAGTAGCTCAGACTCATTCAGCCCTTCTTCGGGCTCTCACTGTGGTGAATATGTGTGCACACCTTTTACACATAAGCCATCTTGAGACCTATGCATCACTGTCCCCTTTTGCAGTTGAAAACCTGAGGCTCACAGAAGGTGGTAGATAGTTCTTCCGAATTCGTAAGTTTCTTAGAATTCCCTCCCTCTGTGGCAGTTAAGACTCAAATCAGAGTCTTTGGGATGCTAAAGCTCCGCTCATTACTGCCTCCCACTACTTTCTAGGAAGTGCAGAGTGGGAGCGCTCATTGGAGCCTGCTGATCTGGATGTCACCTTCACTCTCCTGTCTTTCCCTGCCTACCTGTGTCTCCATCCTTGGTCAGTGTGCAAATTATCTTCTAGGGTCCTGTGGTGACAGATAATGGGAACTTCATCCTGGACTGGAAGTTTGACCGGGTGCACAAGTGGAATGAAGTGAACACAGCTATCAAAATGATCCCAGGTAACCTCGGTGCTCTTTCTGACTCCCTTCCTTCTGGCCAGAGAAGGCGGTGATGTTGGCTTTGTGAGACTGGGTTGGAAAGGAGAACTGCATATCATGTTTGGGATTTTGACTCCTTTCTCTGGGAATAATTGTTGCTTACCTACCACCTTTGGTGTGTATCTTTCTTTTTTTTTTTTTTTTTTTTTTTTTTTT